TCAATCCGTAAATTGCTGAAATTACACATTCAAAGGGCACATACAGTTGAGTTCAAAAACATATACATATGTGATACTCACACATAGGATTCACTTCTATAGTATGCTCATGTGCTCAAAGTTCAAGACAAAGATCAACATATCATCTAACTCAAACATTCTTAATAAGAGAATACAGATCAGCATTCAGATATTTTTCACAAAAAATTTTAAAATTTTCACATAAATTTGCATCAATGTAAACAAGAATTGGTATAATTCACAAAAATTTTCACAAACATTGGTGTAATATGCAAATGGTGCACCCCACCCCCTAACTTGATTCATGCATTATCCTCAATGCAACAAAAAAGATATGATATGCAATGATGGACAATAAAAAAATGAGTAGGATTAGAGAACACCTTGCAGTTGAACTATGACAAAAACACCAACATCTTAAACTAAGGAAAACAAAGCTATACAACCAAGTAAAGTAAGTAACATAAAAATGAAAATAACACAAGTAAATAAGAAAACTATACACTACGAAGCATAAAAACTGGTTATTCCTCCACAAATTTCAGATATACCGGATCCGTCAAATCCTCCTCCACCATTTGTCCTTCAAAATCCTCGAAAAATGACATAAGTCATTGACCATTGACCTTGAATGTTTGGCCATTCTCGGGGTTTGTGACATCCACTGCTCTGTTGGGGTAGGCCACCTTGACAAGATAAGGGTCATCCCAACGGGATCGGAATTTTCCTTGAAAATGGAGAGACGAAAGTTGTATAAAAACACTTTTTTGACCGGGCTCAAATGACTTCCTTACAATGATTTGTCATGAAAGATCTTAGCCCGCTCTTTTGAAATGTTAGAGCTCTCATACGCGTTTCTACGAATCTCCTCCAATTCATTAAATTCTAGCTTTCTATACTCTCCTCTACTGATTTGCCTAAAACTCAACGTCGTTGTTCGTTATTGGTATGCTTTCTTATTTTCATTTGGTATATGGTTAGGTTCTTGGTTCCTGATTTTCTTTGCTTCTGCGTTAAAGCTTCATGTTTACTAGATTGGGATGTTTACTTGTTTCACACATGCACAATTTGGGAAATGCACGAGGAGAACGCGGTGATAATTGTTCTGAATGTTTGAACTAGATTTAGAACTCCTTAGATCCAATGCGTGCTGTATTCTTGTTGAATACAACTAGACTATGGATGAGTGGATTTTTTATTATTACTTCTTCCTCGGAGTTTTTGACTGTGTTTGGTTTGAGGACTTATTCTTTTGCAACTTAAACTACAGGTGTATGAGCCTCCTAAGTTGGCAAACTAGTGTTTCTAGTTTTTTTTACCTAACTTAGGTTATTAAGAAAACATTTTTCAAATTTAAACCGTTTTAAAAACGTCACTTTAATTAACATTTTTAAATTAAAATAACACAATCTTTAGAGGTGATCTAATGATCAAGCCTATCATTTACAAACAAGAGATGTTATGTTTGATATTTCTCGTACTTTTTAAAGACCAACCACTTTATTTCTTAGAAGACATAATCTTTAAATTAACTCAAATTATAAAGAAAAGCATAAAATTCAATAGAGTAATGGGGCACACATAGAAACCCTATAATAATAATAATTAAAAAACACATTCAATGGAGTATAGCTTTAATATATACGTTTTCAGGCTTAAATACGTCTTGCAGCGGGATCTCTTCTTCTTCCCCCATTTCTGTCTTACACAAAATTTTCCCAAACCCTAACCTGCGATCCAACACTCCTCCACCAAATCCAGCACAAATCCACCACATCCCTACTCCGGCGAACCATAAGTGACGTACCACCACCACCTGCAGTCCACCAGCAGCAGCAGTCCACCACCACCACATCCACCTACTCCGGCGACGCATATTGACGCTGCAACAGCAGCAGTCCACCACCTCCACCACCACTCCTCCACAACGTCGGACGACCCCCCATCTCGGGTACTTCATCCTTCTCTCTCTCTCTCTCTATCGGCCTCTCTCTTTCTCTCACTCTCTTTCTCTCTCTCTTTCATAAAGGGTTTTAATTAGGAAAATAAATAAAAAAGGGCTCTCGACCTTTTCCATGACTGGTACATCATCTCTCTCTCTCTCTCTCTCCCGGGGTGGTAAGCAGGGATTAGGGTGGAGGGTGTTGATGGGTATAGCTTAGATGAGAATTGTGTATTTAAGATTGTTTTGAGTTGGCATTCCAAATATGTTCAGATTTCTATTATTTTCGCATATTGGCATTACATGGTTTTGCTAATTCCAAATGTGCTCACATGTCCATTAATAGTTTTGCTAATCCCATTATTTACAAATTTGTTTTAGTAGCAAGTTCTATTTTTGTATAAATATTGTTTGGTTTAGATATGAAGGGGTGGATTGGATTAATTTAATCCGATAATAATATAATACTTAAGTTTGGATGACGTTATAGCGACCGATATTAATTTTAATTAATCTTGATCTGGTTCACTATTATCATTTAACACCTAATATTAGATAGTAATGCATACTATATAATAGGTAGTATTATTTTTAAGGAGATTTGACCACAGGTACAAAGTCGTGGACTTTTAAGGTGAAAGGTCCACTTTGGACACTTTTAAGTTAAGAGGTCTATAAAATCAACCCTAGACAATATTTTTAATGAAGGAGGTTATTTAAAAACATTCAACATTATCTCATTCTTATGTTTATTACAATTATCATCATCATTCCATTGTTGCCATCACCATTCGCCACCTCCCACCATAGCCACCATCGCCTGCCACCACCACCCAACGCCACCACCTACCACTATCACCCACCACCCAACACCACAACCAACAACCATCGCCATCACCGCCACCACGACCATGAGGCGTCACCATCTACTACCGTCACCCACGACCACCGCCATCACCACCACCACCACCCACCATCATCATTGTTGCCACAAACCACCATCATCTTCACCACCACCTATCGCCGTCAACCATCATCACCCAAAACTCACCACCACCACCATAAACTATTACCACCATCACCCACCACCACCACTACACACCATCGTCGACCATCACCACCACCACCTGCCACCCACCACCACCATTAGCTGTTGTCGCCCAACACCATTACCCGCTGTCGTCCAACACCATTACCCACCAATGCCTCCACCACCATCACATACCATCGCCACCCACCACCACATACTGTTGCTACCAATTGTCACCCATCATCATTATCCGCTACTGCCCACAACCACCATTACCCTGTCATTGCCCACCATTGCCGTCAATCATCATCACCTAAAACCCACCTCCACCACCCACACCCACACCCATCACGACTATGTTCGCTGCCCACCACCACCATAACGGTCGCCCACTACCATCAACACCCGCTACCAAAATACATCATCGCCGCCACCACCCACCACCATCACTATTGTTATCGTCCATCACCATTACCACCACTACCGCTGCCACCCATCATTCTCCAAATTTTTCACAAGCAGTGAACTATAAAAATATTAAAATATTTAAATTAAGAAATATATATATATATATATATATATATATATATATATATATATATATATAAAACAGTGAACTTAAAAAATTCAAGAACAAATATAAATAGTGAACTTTAATAGAATGAAACTTCTAGCTCAATTTTTTTTTTTACAAACATTAAACTTTAATAAAATGAAACTTCTATTTCACTGTTCAAAATTTTTATAAACAGTGAATTATAAAAAAGATTAAAACTTTGAATTGAAAAATATATATAAAAAACATTGAACTCAAAAAATATTGAAAGAAACATAAACAGTGAACTCCAAAAACAGTAAATTTTAATAGAATGAAACTCTTAATTCAAAAAAATTTAAAAAACAGTGAACTTTAATAGAATGAAATTCCTAATTATTTGTCCAAAATTTTCACAAATAGTGAATTTTAATAGAATGAAACTCCTAGTTAACTGTCTAAAATTTTCATAAACAATGAACTACAAAAATATTGAAAATTTGAATTAAGAAATATATATCAAAAATAAAATTTATAAAATAATTTTTATTACATATAATGAAAATTCAAAGTTGTATTGTTAAACATAATTTGGTGTAAAATAGCTTTGAAAATCTAACATTAATTAAAATAGATATATTCATCTAAAATAATATAAAAAACAAAGTTCATAATATAGATAAATTCAACTTTAAATTTCTTTCTCTCTTTTTTATCTTTCGTCCCCCACAAGCACACTCAAGATAGTGAACTTAGACAATGAACTTAATCCAAATCAATCAGAAGCACAATATACACATGATATATGAACTTGTATCTTGGGTAGGAGTACAACTAGTAGTAGGATACTATTTGTGCCGCATTCATCGCCTTACACAACCCTTTAATCATCATGTTAAAACTAATCAAATCAAGCTCAATCCTAAGCCTAATGATCTCCTTATACACTTTTTCCACAACTTCAATTTTTTATTCTTTAACCAAAGAACTCAACATTGGGTTACATGATAGAATAGATAGCTTAACCCCAGAAGACCCAACCCTCTCAAAAGCCTCAAGATTCTTCATGTATGCCAATAGGAACATATCGATAATAATTAGAATTCTTCCATTTTTGATGTGCATTCGTTATTTGGTGGTCAGTTTGTGCAGAGCAAGAATTGTTCACAAATTCCATTGTCGATAAACAATGAAAAAGAAAATCGTAGCATTATTTTGTGGGGAAGCAATAAAAGTAATTTCTAATGCTCTAACCAAAATGTTGCCTAAGATTTTCCTAGGAATTAATTATCTATATCAAAACACAAATGCTACAGTAAATCATCTACTCAGATCTCCACAAAATTACAAGCAGTTAACAAGGCAAAAAATCATAGATAAATAAAAAATAAAAATGAGTAAACATTAATTAGAGTCTACAGGAGAACACGAAATCTGGAGATCTATTCCCCTAAAATTAACAATTCATTTACCGTATGAAAGCATCGCCATTTGAAGAGATGGAAGTTCGGTTTTGATTGGGGACAGAGGAGTAATTTCCTCACTTCCTCCGTGGATTACGAAAGCATTGCCCTTACTCAAGAATCTCTCTGCAGCGTAGTTATGCACTGAAGCTTCAATGCGTAGCAACAAAACACATAGTAGACATAACAAAGGCTTGATTAACTTAGCCGAAGACATTGTTGTTACTGTGTTTAGATAGAGAGAGAGAGAGAGAGCAAATCTACTGGTGTGAAGACTGAGTTGTCCTTGCAAGAAAGACTTTGTCTCTTCACGCAAAGAGAGAGATCTGGAGCTAAAAGGCAAACAACCACATCATGTGGTTAGTGTCTAACTTTGGTTGACTCATTGAATGGCTATCCCTACTCAACGACGCATTTAGCCAGAGCTCCCCAGCAACGTTGTCGATCTGTTGTCACCTCCTCCAAGAAAATCTCACAGTCGCAACAAGGGAAGAATGCACTGGAGCAGAGATCACCAGCGGTGATCTAGAAAGTAGGGGTAATATAGTCATAAAAAAAGAGAAAATTTAGTTTGGACTACATGACAAAAAAATTGGACCTTACCCCTTAAAAAGTGCAAGCCTGAACTTATTTACAAATTGAGTTTCCGACTTTGTAGTTTCCAACAATTTTTATTTATTTTTAATAAGTTAAGTATTAAAAATACAATGATTTTATTATCTTTACAAACTTAGAGTCACACCTTTATATAAAAATTACATATTATGTAAATTTTTATCCTCAATATTTATTTTATTATTTTTAATTTAATACCATACACTATTACTTAATCCAAACATAAATTTGGTATTATAATTATAGATTTGTATATTATCACAACCTTAATCCAAACTTGTTATACAAAGATAAGATTAAATATTACTCTTGTTAACACCATTTTACAGGTTGGATGAGAATTAATTACCCAATTACATCCCTTATTTGTACCTGAACCAAACATGCCCTTATTGTTTGAGTGCTTATATTCATTACCCTTGCTGCATGTCATTAGATTTTCTATGACTAAAGATAGATTTCTCTTGGTGAGAGCCAATCTGGAAACAATAAATTGAAATTATTTATGACATAAAATTGGCTTTCAAGGTAAGTTATTTTCCCCTTATAGTTAGCTCTCCCAAGGACATTGGTCATGAAGTTTTAAAAGATGGCTTATACAGTGCAGATGGATGATAGCCATCTTCATCACATGCTACCACATGAGTCAATGTTGAATTGACTGGGTTTAGTGTGTGGCAAGAGATGATATTGAATGCATGATGTCTGACAATACTATGTAAGTTGAATGTCTTCATGCCACATTAGTTCTAGGTGTTCTATTTAAAACCAAATCATGATCTTGTTAAACTGAGTACTTTGTTAAACTGAGTACTTTGTTTGATCATACCATCAGATATATTTACTTATGTATGTCCATATATTCTTTTATTATATAGGTAGATATTCATATCTTTGCAATTTGACCTAAGAGACAAGTTAGACAAATATTTCAGACTGAGCAATTTGCTATAAGGAGCCAGTGCTGTGGGTTGGTGGTGCCAGCGTACCAATTTTTTGGTTTCTCGTTCTTCAAATGCCTTGGTATCTTTCCTTTAGGCTTTGAAAGGGAAAGCACTCAATTTGAAGCATAAATAAATGGAAGATTGTTAGATCACCTCCATCATACTTGTTTCCTCCAGCATCTCTACTCTATCTGTTGGGAGTGCTAATTGTTGAAAAGTGTTTGTGTGGCACCGTTCGGGGTGGATATACCAACTGATTTGAGCGTATCCTTGTGTTCAGGTTGTGCATAGGGAAGGGCTTCTTTGATTATTCCCGAGTAATGTGAGGATTTTTTGTAAGGTACGTACATCTTTAAAATCTTTTCAGATGATTTTATTTTTCATATTTAACGTGTAATCCTAAGAGGAAGAAGGGCAGGCCAAGACCGTTGTGGCTGGTAAGACATGATCTTCAACAGTGCCTTCACCCACGTGATAATTTTTCTATTGCATATTTTTCTGCCATTTATTTTCTTACCAAGTGGATTCTATATGTACCCAGCAAACAACCACATGTAGATCTCAACCATCACTATTTCATAAGATTGCAGGTGGCAATTCCAAAGATGCACCACAGTTTGAAACAGTGATTGAAAAAATAGCTTGAACCTTCATCTTTTCATGAGAGCTGGACTTCAGTTTTTCCCATTAGATTTACGTTTTGGATATCAGTGAGTTACATGGACAATCCCTCTGCAATCACGATTTTCCATTTTGGAGCTCCAGGGCAACCTTCCTCTTGGTTCTTTTGAGAAGCAGCGATGTGGTGTTTATAGCCTTACGGATTTCATGTAGTCAATATTGTGAGATCATATAGATGCAGCAACAAACGTGAGCAATTAATTGTAAGGTAATGTTAGTGCAGCGCTTCATAACATGGAGTCTGTTTGTCTGTTCATTTAGATCCAATAACTGATTGAGGTGAGCAATTAATCGGAAGGTACTCATTATGATTACTGATTGTGTACCTTCCTTAACCAGCCATCCAGCCACCCACATAAAAGGTGACGAAGAAGAACATAAAGCAATATTCCTCTCCCAACAAGGTAACACTCGCGATTGAATGATTTCTTGTGTGGTGCATCATGCCTTTTGTAGGATTTGATGACAGACTCCGTTCACCAGGTCTTCGCTCGTAGGCTCCCTCATTAGTAAAAAGCTCTTGGGTGATTTTGATTCGATGGTTTATATGAGAAGACTATAATTGCCCCATGGCTGTCCAGGTTTATAATAATGGACCCGAGTCCATTTGCTATTGATAGATTTTGATCAGTCTCATATGACGGAAAGCATGTTGACATGGTAAGGTATAAAGATGATTTATTGATGTATGTATAATAGCAGGCCCTCTATAATTTTTTTTTTTTTTTTTTGGCTTGCATATAAGAACTTGGAAATGTAATTTTGTTATAGGGGACAATGAAGCCCAAAATTACCTGTTTTGAAAGGGTTCTTTGGAAGTCGGTACACCTAATTAGACTTATTTGACAAAAATTACATAGAACAAAATGTGAGTTAGAAAGACATAAATGTCCATTTTAGAGTCATTTGATTCAAAATTTTTTATTTTTAATACATCTTGATTCATGTGTGTTTGTTAATACATATAAATATGTATTTAATACATATTTGATTCATGTGTATTTGTTAATATATATATATATATAGTTAGTTAGTTGTTGTTAAATCTCTTATTTAAAATTTAAATTATCTTTAATGCACTTTGATGCATACGTATTTTTTTTTTTTGAAAAGTGATTTTGTTTTCAAATTATATTTAATGCACCTTGATTCAAATATTTTTTTTTTTGGAAAATAGTTTTATTTTCAAATTAATTTAATATCTGAATAATGTAATAGTATAATAATAATAGTGTAACAAAAACAGTGTTCAGTAGTTTTGTGTATATAGTAACAAATTCAAAACGAATATAGACTATTTTGAATGAAATTATATGTTTGATAAAATGTAATAGTACAATATTTTGTGTAAATAGATTGTTAAACTATTATTGTTATACTGAATATAGACTATTTTGAATGAAATTATATGTTTGATAAAATGTAATAGTACAATATTTTGTGTAAATAGATTGTTAAACTATTATTGTTATACTGTTATATTTTTATTGTTACACTTTATATTGATACACTGTTATTGTTACACTATTACACTATTTGGATATTAAATTAATTTAAAAATAAAACTATTTTCTAAAAAAAATACATGAATCAAGGTGCATTAAAAGATAATTTTTAAAATTTAGATAAGAGATTTAACAAGTATATACATACATAAGTATATATATATATATATACGTATATAAATACTTGTTTGAATTTTAAAATTTGTGTATATATATATATTAAAGTTCTCTCATAAAATTAGAAGATGTTTAATGCACCATTTTTCAAAGAAAAGTAGTGCATTAAATACACATGGATTAATGGAGGGCAAAAATATTACAATAAAAATAGATAAATTCAAATTATGTACTTGGATATAAATAAATATCAAAATTAAGTATTTAATAGCTTTATATTTTTTAGTATGTATTTTTTACCAAATAAATCTAATTTGGTGTATCTCTTTATGATTTACCCGTTTTGAAATGTGTTGATGACCCATTATCTGGTGGATTCTATCCAGTGCTTTTAATTTTCTTGTAAGCCCTTTGTACGGTCCATTTTGATTCTCTTTTCCGTGGGCTTGAATAAAAAGCCCTTGCTGGAGAACTTGGATGACAAACTTACTTAGATGGAGTAGGAGGCTTTCTTTATAAACAGGACAAGGATTTGGAGAGTTGGGACTACTCCCATCCCATGTACCATACATATACTTGTCTTAAAGTGCGTTCATTAGTGGAACATGGGATAGCCCCCAAAACCAACAAAAGAAAATCCAAAATAAATTAGAAAAGAATGTCTCATCCCATCTACTCTCCCATTGTGTAACCCATACATACTATTAAAATATCAAACTTAATTAAAACTAATTGACAATCGAATAGACATGACGACAAAGCTCAGATGCTAGCAGTTATTATATCAATGTGAAAAAAACTCCAGTATTGATTCCTTTCATGTGTAACCTGAGCTTCTCAAGGCTAATTTATGGTGAAGAACAGGGCCGGCTTGATTGATGTAAATGGGGCTTTATGCATGAGCTTTAAATGAGGCCTTTTTAAAATTTAATATAAATATGTTATATGATTAATATTTTACTTAAAAATTATTTTTTTTGTTTTTTGAGACACAAATTTAGTGATTAACTTTTTACATTTGAGTTTTGCTAATATATCGTTTTCAATGGATAATATGACTAATTTATTCAATTTTTCATGTGATATGGCTGATTATACGTAAGATTTATAAGTTTTTAATTTTGAAAAACTTCTTTCAAGAGAGATGCCTACGGTTTTTTAATGGGAGGAGAGAGAGAGAGATTCCTAAAAGCTAAGCCAAATTATAGGACGAGTTTTGAGGTGATCATTGAACGAGTTTCTAAAATTTAAGAGTAAAATATTGATTAAAAGGGGAAAATTTGTGGAATTTTTTGTTTTAATTTAGGCTTTTTTATGATATATATTTACTTGGGTTTATAAAAACTATATTTTTT